ATAACAAGGAATATTATTGTCTAATGATCAAATTTAGTGGAATTTCTTTTATTAGACTTATAAGGTCTACTAACACCAAGCAAATGATCGATCATATCAATCTTAATACCCCTAAAACAATATTATAGATCAGTACAAAATACAACAATCCCAATAATTGCATTTCTAGGTTCAAGACCCATTTCTCTCAACTGGCGTACAATGAAAAAAAGAAATACTACTACCCCGCAATGCCTGGAGTGTTTGGGGAGCGCCAGCAGGAGATGGCTGACTTCTTCCGTGAATCTCTAGCCCAACCATTTACACGTGGCGACTACAAGGAGCTGGTAGAGCTTTGTCTGCTGCTTGTAACTAAGGGATCCGAGCCAGTGAACTTCACGATGGTCTACCCCGGCGCACTTCACAAAACAAGGTGGATGGCTAAACTGCTCTATACCCTCAAGATTGTTCTTTTGTCAGGCCAGATCAAAGAGCAGTTTCCCAAAGCCGAGGTTGTGACTAAAAGTCAAATCAGCAAGTTAGAACGGTTTGCTGTGTTCACAGTCGCTGTTTATGTCCCATGGTGGATTGTTTGCCCCGTTCCAGCAAGTCCGCCACTGAATGACTTGAATTTGGTCGAAACCTTGGCTGAATTTGCCCCATATGCCTCCACAATAGTTGACAAAGCACGTGTGGCATTCGGTAGACACACTTGGTACCTAACTGAGGAGTTGGCCCCACTGGCTTTGTTCTCGTCCCAAGTGCAAGAAAAGACAAAAGAGGAGATGAGGAAGGCCCTTCTTTGCCATGAAGGCAATGAAGTTACTAAGAGAGTGGGGCTCAATCATGGGGGCTATGGAAAGCCATATCTTCCCCCTGTCCCAGAATGTGGCACTGCCATGGTGGACCTAATTGGGCCTGACTCAAGCTGGTTCTTCACCATTTTAGGCATGCCCTATCAGTTTCTCCACAGTCCAGCCAGTGAATAGGCGGATCATGACGACTACCTGAACATGAAACGGGTTGTGGACAAGCTTCAGGTCGTCAATGAGGCTGCAGAGCGTGGTGTAAAACTTTGCCATGACTTTCTTAATGTTGCCAGGGATGAGGAGCGCTTTCAAGAAGTCCTTCAAGTAGTTGAAAATGACAGACTCCGCGTTCCTAATCAGAGCAAACGATCATCTGTTTCCGAACAGAAATCATGGTTTCTTGCTCTAGAGAAATAATACCTTGTGAATATGTGATAAAACCCCTTAATGTACCACGAGAGAATAAGAATGATTAACTTTTTTGTGTTAGTGATAACAGCTTTTAATTAAGACAGGCAAATGATTTGTGTTAATATCCCTTATGATGGTTGTGTATTCTCATATATAGGCGCGTATGACGTATAAGCAAAATCGTTATTTTTCAAATTGCTGGTGCTCACTCAAATATGCATGAATCTTCAAAAAATTGCACGTGGGTATTTTTTATGTCAATATGCAATACCAAAATTGTTAACAGCATTGTAGGACAAATTGGGGCAACTGTCACACTCTAATATATATATATATATGTATATATATATATATATATATATATATATATATATATATATATATATATATATATATATATATATATATATGCAAGTAAATCACTGTAGGTGCGCGTGATCTAGGGTGCACCCACCAAGAGAATACACTCAAACGGTTCCACGATAATATATATATATATATATATATATAATATATATATATATATATGAGATTAAATAAAAGCAAGGAATTTAGCTGAAGACATAGTGAAGAGAGATGAGAAAGGAAGAGACTGTTGACAAGTGCAAAAAGGGAAGAAATATCAAGATAAACAGGTGATTATAGTTCTCATAATTATGATATAAAACATAATAAAACCCAAGTATTTTCTCCATCACTAATAAACCCAAAGTATTATTCTCCATCACTTATAAACCAAAAGTATTATTTTCCATCACTAATAAGCCCAAAGTATTATTCTCCATCACTAATAAGCCCAAAGTATTATTCTCCATCACTAATAAGCCCAATGTATATTCTCCATCACTAATAAAACCCAAAGTATTATTCCATCACTAATAAGCCCAAAGTATTATTCTCCATCACTAATAAGCCCAAAGTATTATTCTCCATCACTATAAGCCCAATGTATTATTCTCCATCACTAATAAGCCCAAAGTATTATTCTCCATCACTAATAAAACCCAAAGTATTATTCTCCTACCACATAAGCCCAAAGTATTATTCTCCATCACAATAAACCCAAAGTATTATTCTCCATCACTAATAAGCCCAAAGTATTATTCTCCATCACAATAAGCCCAAAGTATTATTCTCCATCACTAATAAGCCCAATGTATTCTCCATCACTAATAAACCCAAAGTATTATTCTCCATCACTAATAAGCCCAAAGTATTATTCTCCATCACTAATAAACCCAAAGTATTATTCTCCATCACTAATAAGCCCAAAGTATTATTCTCCATCACTAATAAGCCCAATGTATTATTCTCCATCACTAATAAAACCCAAAGTATTATTCTCCATCACTAATAAGCCCAATGTATTATTCTCCATCACTAATAAACCCAAAGTATTACTCTCCATCACTAATAAGCCCAAAGTATTATTCTCCATCACTAATAAGCCCAAAGTATTATTCTCCATCACTAATAAGCCCAATGTATTATTCTCCATCACTAATAGCCAGTATTATCTCCATAGCCCAAGTATTATTCTCCATCACTAATAAGCCAATGTATATTTCATCACAATAAGCCCAATGTATTATTCTCCATCACTAATAAACCCAATGTATTATTCTCCATCACTAATAAGCCCAATGTATTATTTTCCATCACTAATAAGCCCAATGTATTATTCTCCATCACTAATAAACCCAATGTATTATTTTCCATCACTAATAAGCCCAAAGTATTATTCTCCATCACTATAAGCCCAAATATTATTCTCCACCTAATAAGCCCAATGTATTATTCTCCATCACTAATAAGCCCAATGTATTATTTTCCATCACTAAGCCCAATGTATTATTCTCACCAAAGCCAATGTATTATTTCCATCACTAATAATGTATCTCCATCAATAAACCCAATGTATTATTCCCATCACTAATAAGCCCAGTATTATTCTCCATCACTAATAAGCCCAATGTATTATTCTCCATCACTAATAAGCCCAAATGTTTTCCATCACTAATAAACCCAATGTATTATTCTCCATCACTAATAAGCCCAATGTATTATTCTCCATCACTAATAAGCCCAATGTATTATTCTCCATCACTAATAAGCCCAATGTATTATTCTCCATCACTAATAAGCCCAATGTATTATTTTCCATCACTAATAAGCCCAATGTATTATTCTCCATCACTAATAAACCCAATGTATTATTCTCCATCACTAATAAGCCCAATGTATTATTTTCCATCACTAATAAGCCCAAAGTATTATTCTCCATCACTAATAAGCCCAATGTATTATTCTCCATCACTAATAAGCCCAATGTATTATTCTCCATCACTAAGCCCAATGTATTATTTTCATCACTAATAAGCCCAATGTTATTCTCCATCACTAATAAACCCAATGTATTATTCTCCATCACTAATAAGCCCAATGTATTATTTTCCATCACAATAAGCCCAAAGTATTATTCTCCATCACTAATATGCCCAATGTATTATTCTCCATCACTAATAAGCCCAATGTATTATTCTCCATCACTAATAAGCCCAATGTATTATTCTCCATCACTAATAAGCCCAATGTATTATTTTCCATCACTAATACCCAATGTATTATTCTCCATCACTAATAAACCCAATGTATTATTCTCCATCACTAATAAGCCCAATGTATTATTCTCCATCACTAATAAGCCCAATGTATTATTTTCCATCACTAATAAGCCCAAAGTATTATTCTCCATCACTAATAAGCCCAAAGTATTATTCTCCATCACTAATAAGCCCAAAGTATTATTCGCCATCACTAATAAGCCCAAAGTATTATTCTCCATCACTAATAAGCCCAATGTATTATTCTCCATCACTAATAAGCCCAATGTATTATTCTCCATCACTAATAAGCCCAATGTATTATTCTCCATCACTAATAAGCCCAATGTATCATTTTCCATCACTAATAAGCCCAAAGTATTATTCTCCATCACTAATAAGCCCAAAGTATTATTCTCCATCACTAATAAGCCCAAAGTATTATTCTCCATCACTAATAAGCCCAAAGTATTATTCTCCATCACTAATAAGCCCAATGTATTATTCTCCATCACTAATAAGCCCAAAGTATTATTCTCCATCACTAATAAGCCCAAAGTATTATTCTCCATCACTAATAAACCCAATGTATTATTCTCCATCACTAATAAGCCCAATGTATTATTTTCCATCACTAATAAGCCCAAAGTATTATTCTCCATCACTAATAAGCCCAATGTATTATTCTCCATCACTAATAAGCCCAATGTATTATTTTCCATCACTAATAAGCCCAATGTATTATTTTCCATCACTAATAAGCCCAAAGTATTATTCTCCATCACTAATAAGCCCAAAGTATTATTCTCCATCACTAATAAGCCCAATGTATTATTTTCCATCACTAATAAGCCCAATGTATTATTTTCCATCACTAATAAACCCAAAGTATTATTCTCCATCACTAATAAGCCCAATGTATTATTCTCCATCACTAATAAGCCCAATGTATTATTTTCCATCACTAATAAGCCCAATGTATTATTTTCCATCACTAATAAGCCCAATGTATTATTTTCCATCACTTTGTTAACAAAATTATGTGAAATAACAACAGTGAACATTAATACAAATGTCATATTCTAAACATCTGCCATAATGCATAATATTAGATGGAAAATATGTTCTAAAAACCATTACAGGCACCGTACTTAAAATTCAATAAAAGAGTTTTAAGGAAAAACAAACTGAAAATTAATACTTACATGAGGAAAAGTTGTTTGAAGATTGTATTCATGATGGTCCACTTAAGAGACACATATACTGTAACTAGGCTGATGGTAGCAATAACACCCACTGAAACAGAACACACACTGTAAGGTCTTTACCGCATGCTTGGTCGTCTTGTTCTCACTCTCTCTAAATCTTGATGTTCTCTCACATTAAATAACTCCACTAGTTATCTTACGTATTACCTATGTCCTGTAAAATCAATTTTGACATAATTAGTTATTTTCGTAAAATGTTGGTCTAGGAGTGACTTCCTGTTGTGGTGGCGTATCACAATTTACGAGTTACGAAAAATAATTAATAAAAAGGGCAAAAATATGAAATGATAATAGAAATGGTAATAAAAGAAAAGTAAAAATACAGGAGAAATAATAATGATAAATAATATTACTAGTAATTTGGTCGCCAGCTCAAAATTTTCACCCTGTCTGAAAATTTAGGAAGTTTATTTCATGTATTCTTTCACAAAAACAATATATGTGGAACCTTCAAACTCAGGAGCTATTTAGAATATTACTCATGTACTGGTTGATCTGTTGCTGTGAAATGGTACATATTGTTAGTAACTAACCACGTATTGATAATCCGCCCGACTACATATTTTTAGCCAATATGCAGAAACAATTTTACATATATAATTAATTTGTGTATTGCTGTCATAATATTGGAGATATTAACAATATATGTCCAACATGAGGACCTGTGGGAAGTATGTCAAGTGCTGTTCGTCGTGTACGATCCATCCAACACCCATAATATTTACACCATTTACTGTAAAGGACCAAAACCGATTACTGTATTTTACTTTATTCAGTAAAATTTTGTCGTTTATTCATTTATCGTACACTGAGACAAAGATCTGATTCCAGCTTCTGAGAAAGTCGTCCGTTAACTGTTATCCTTGGACTTGGTGATGCAAGAAGGTGACCTAAACGGCAAGTTTTTCGATCATGGGTATCCCAGCCAGCGAAGGAAATATCATTTATATACGATGCCTTAGAATTCTTCTGACTAGCCGTAATAGTTGTTGGCTCACCATGATTGTCGCTCAATGGTGTTTGTAGTACTACATCATTTAAAAAAATAGTTTTGGAGGTCAATATCCGGAACGGCAGGTGCTGGTGTCCAGTATCAGATATCCACCTCTTAATTAAGGCTTGTCATCGTGTTGACTCAAGTTATCCACATTAAGCTCAAAATAATCAACCTTTGGCTTACAAAAACATCTACCGTGACGTTGTTTAGAAGGATGGGTGAGAAGGTTATAAATATTTCAGCGCAGGAACAATGGAGGTACAATTCCTGGATCCAACTTTACATACTTTAACCAAATTCGTTTAGAATTTAGATGAAGTTTGGGTTAGTTAGGTGAAGAATATGTTAGGTTAAATTTGGCTCTCGGGTGGGTATTTGTCATTACAGAGAAGAGAGATGGTTGGTGGCGGCCATGACAATAATAACTCACTGATGAAGCACTAAAGATACCCCTATATACCCTGAGCTGTTACGTCAAGTAGATATCATCATCTAAATTATTGTTGGGTCACATGATGTGTAAAAATGGTGTTGATAGGTGGTAGTGGACCCAAAGAGGACGTATGTGTGATGGAGAATAAACTTAAGGAAATGCCAAAAATGAAAGCATTGTCCTCAGCCGAGTGTGATGGTCCGCCTCCCTGTTGCTGGGCGTGTTACGGACAAAATCACACTGGACAAAACTCCACCACCAGAACAGCACAGTGGACAAAATTATATCTGAGGTTTTATACAAAAATTGGTTATGTAGAATTTTGTCCTAAACGGCAGGTAAGTCAAATATTAGCTACACCCCTCGCTAATCCTCCTCAATCTTCCTCCCCACAAGGGTACAAGGCACTTCATTACCCGCACACCCAACACGATCGGAATGAGAATAGATTTTTATTTCTTCTATGTTCTATAGTTATTTCTTCAAGTTTAATTGCTTGCATTTTTAAACTGTGGGGTAATCTTACCTTGTCTTTCTTTCCTACAGCGTAAATCTATTCAATGCCCTTTTCTCGCTTAAAAAGTCCTTATACCTGTACAGTATATGCAGCGGGAGGCCGCACAGAACCTGTTTATTCTCAAGTTTATAATAGGGTTTTTGACCTCGTCTTATATACTTATGTCCTTCAGATTATAATTATTTCCCAAGACTGATGAGAGATGTAGAGACTTCTTTCAGAATTTGTCTCAAGTCTTTTCGAAGTTTAAGGGCGGTCATCAGTCCATATAAACACGAGGACTTCCATATACAAGCAATGCCCCATAAGTCGATAATCGAACACTGGACCTCTGCGTGTGAACAGGGATCGCTACCACCGTACCAAAAGGACAATGAAATGCAATCCTAGATTTAATTTTATCTTACACAAAGCCTGTTCATTCGTCTTTTTAAAGCGGTGGTAGCGGATTCCTGTTCACACGCAGAGGTCCAGGGTTCGATTCCCGACTAGTGAGGTATTGTTTGCCTATACTGTATATATATATATATATATATATATATATATATATATATATATATATATATATATATATATATATATATATATATATATATATATTGTTTGCTACAAGGATAGCAAACGAACCCGGCTAGACCATGTGTAAATATCTGAGATTTCAGCAAGCGTACATCAAAACTGTGTCAAAAGAGAAGCCGGGTGCCAAAATTATTGTTCACCACCCACTGCTCGAGCACAAGCATCAGCTGCATCATCAAAAAACGGTATTGATTTGCATATTACCACAAATATAAAGTATACCGGCTAATTTATCACTTGCCGGGGAGCATGTCTATTGACTAAACAAGTTGAATCAGACCAGGTTGTACTTTTAGTTCAATATTAGGATTAGGGCTTTTATATGTCTTCATGTAAAATAAGATAAAATAAAATAAAAATGTAGGTACGTACACATATCTCCATAGCGATACTGTACTTAGTAGTGACCATTCACAGAATATTATATTGATTATTAAAAAAAATATTAATAATTTACTCTAGCGTTTCCGTCAGTTATATTTTTCGGGTTTTATTGACTTTTCGATTTCACTTAAGGACATGCAATTGTGATTCCACAAAGCGAACAGGATATCAAGTTGAGGGAAATTGTGGGGCAAACACAAGCTAAAAAAATGACGGAACCAAACCTAACGACTCTCAAATATCAGTGTCTCACTTAACCTAACCGAGAAACCAGAAGGACCTAACCTAACCCCCGAAGCGAAAATAACGCAAAAACTAGTCATTTCCGACAGAAATCTATAAAGTATTTTTGGTGCTTCATCTCCCTATATAAGAATCAAATAAAGATCTGTGAATGGTAACTACGGAATATTAACCTCCATAGTCTCAGGGTTAAGTCTCTTTATCCCATGTCATTGGCTCAGTATTTTCATACAACCTGTAAGTAGACTATCATATATAACTGATCTCCAAGGCCATTGATTTACACACTATGTATGTATGTGTGACGCTAAGATATCCACACATGTTCTTATTATATTTTTGTGCAACATGAAGTTCGATGTTACCGAAAAATAGCGTTGTTAGACACTGTTCCTTCACATGACTACGACGTTTTTTCGCTGTTTGTCTGGATCCTTCCACCTGGCTTGCATGGTTTCTGTGATAAAAATAAAAATAAAATAAAAAATTCTATATGGTTGAAAAAATAACACATATTTGTTATGTGATTGACATTTTTAATCGCATCACCGACCTCCAATAAGAGAAATGACACGTAACAAATTCATCTTATTACTTGAACCTTAAGCTGCAGAATCGTATATTATCTATTTCCCTAAGTGGAAATTTGAGGATGCCTTAAATGAGCAGTGGTGTCAAAACTTCACTGATATTCTAACGCAATTATGAACTTTCTCATCACTCTATAAAAAGTAATTAATAATAAAAATTCATTCAATAAACAAAAACAAAATGTTCTGTGAACCTTTAAGAATCCGGACCCAAGCTGATATGCTGACAGCTATTAGGCTGTGTCCCTGTCTGTTTATCAATCCATTATTAGCTCGACAGGTTCCTTTATTTTTTTCAACGGAAGCCTCGTCCCCTGATCTTCTGTGAGGAACGAATATTGATGATATTATTATGAAGAAGTTCAGTGGCCGGATAAAAGAGTCGGTTGGTGGTAAGGAGATGTCTAGACGCAAGCCTATTTTTATAGATAACAATAATATATTTTCCTGCGCTGGGTCTTCATTTAAACGAAGATTCTGTTCCGTGAAGAAAGCTTGGCAGTCATGGCAACCGGGAAAGTTGAAAGTACTGAACCAATAAACAGGATTAATGAAGCGTCTCTGCTGAGAAACACTGCTCGGCCACATTTATATGCAACACAGAACTTCAGTGGAATGTCCCCGCGGCAGTCTCAACCCTTCATCCAAGTGAAAGTTGTTAGTCATCTATTGTGAACAATTATATCAAATAATAAAAACTTCCATATATGTAGTGAGTATCTTTATCATATCTAAGCACCAATCAGCCACCACCAACAGTACGTTGTCCTCTTGATACCAATAAATATGTTGTGAAGGAGAACAGGTTACTGGAAGCCTAGCGAGGACACGTTTTCTGTGATCCGTTGCTGCCTCAAACTTAAAGAACATTGCACTTAAAAACAAATAAACTTTTCTATTTGGGATTAGAATTATTTTAGTTGGATGCATGCCTCTTCTTTGCTACCCTTTCCCTCCAAAATTTACTTTATTTTTTGCATGAAGAAAAATCTTACGTAACATGGACCCAAGGTTCAGTGCTCCCTCGAGTTCATTCTCACACCTGACATCCTATTGGTAAACAGTATTGACATGGACTGTACAAAGTGGCCATATGCTGTAACAGATGCAATTGAATAATATGAATGTTTAAATCTATTATTAAACTATTTCAGAGATATGTAACCCACCGCGTTCAACACAATATAACTTCGTAATTCAGCCTAACGTAATAACCAGACTTAATATCATAAACATGAAAAGCGCTTTTAATTTGAATTGCCTATTCAATGTTTTATACAACACAGTATAGTTAATTTTGTACATTACTGTTTGTATGTTTACATTAATATCTCAGGAGGAACAATTTGAATGCAAAATGAAGTTCTTACGTTCAGAAAAAAGGTTGTGTAAGTTCTTTTTTCACTATCCA